GCGATCAAACCTGGTGTGTTTCGAGTGAAGTGCAACAGCTACGACTACGGAACTCTGATTGTTACTTACGATGGGGCTCGTCAGGGCTATATAGCGAAAAAATATTGTAAGCCTGTTGTTCAATTTTCTGCTGTACCACCAGATGCAAATCTCAGTGTAAAATGTTTGGCAGCTTGTACAGGTTAAAATAATGTTCAAGTTTGAGAACATCCAATAAAATTATGTATGTAAATCGACTTTACTGTTATCTCTACAGCGCACAATAAACCGATAATCGATTTTATTATGATGTTATCGATTGCTCAAATCTATGTTATCAAATTTTTTTAATTATACCTATATATAACATAAAATTTCGCAGTTTAATAGAGAAGGAACTATAAAATATCAATCAAGTCTTCTTCTTCTGGTTCACATATTTTTTCGCTTCTCCTTTATCTAGGCTTTAAATTAGCTACAAGATCCTCTTAATATACTTACGTTAAAGGCATTTGGTCATCGGTCTTACTGTCATCTCTAGAGCGTATATCAAACCAATAATCGATTTAATTTGATGATGTTATCGATTGCTAAGCAAGCTTAAGCTGCTCAAATCTAAGTTATCGGATCTTTAAACTCAACTGAATATTATTTTAAGTTCGATACGAAAAAAAATAAATATCATGTCGAGCTGCCTTTTCCTCATCTTTATCTATTTGTCCTTTATCTATGCTGTCATCTCTAGTGCGCATATCAAACCGATAACTTTTTGATCATTTTATTTGATGATCTCAAATCTAAGATCACGAATCTTTGAATTCTATAAATGCATAACTCTAACTTCCACACAGCGCTACTCTGATCTTCTGGCTCGCATCTTGTCCCCTTCTTTCTAAATGCTTAATAAGATCCTCTCTATAACTTAACCCAACATTAAAATAAGCTCATTTGCTATTGTCACATATTACAAGATTTTTTTTCTTTTTGGGAAGTGTTTACTTTACGCCCAAGCCCAAAATCTATCATAGCTTCACCCCACGGCCCGCCCCTCATTCAGCATCGGCCTATGAGCACTTTCATCTGGCATAAAGCTTCAATGTTGACGTTGTCGCCATTTGTCGTGTTTTTGCCACTTACGCAGTCGCTTTGCCATTAACGTGTCTGCCCTTGCCCCTGCCCCTGGCCCAACTCCTGTTTTACCATTTGTGCCTGCTCGACCCACTTACGCCTGGTGATGCCAACTGATAAAAATTGATGCAAAATACGCAAAAAGTCGCGAAAATCCTCGTGGAAAATTTTCAAAATTTTCACAGCTGATTGTGCAAGTGCGACACACACACACACACAAACACACACGGGATACGAGGGACGCACGACCGGTTGCTTCTTTTTGCATATGCCTTACACCCGTCTGTACCAAACATTATCTCCCTCTCGCTCACACTCTTTCTCGCTCTGATGCTCTCTCTTTCTCCCTCTGTCTTACTGACAATGTGCATGGCATTATTTCTGGCATCGCCATACTCTGTGCTCCCCCCGGACAGTTCCTTTGCTGAACTCGGCTTGTTTGCATTTGCGTATCATCGACGCATGTCGCGAGGCATCGCTGGCTCGCTCCCGGCTGTCTGGCTATCTGGGTGGGCGTCCTGGTCCTGGTCCTGGTCCTGGTTGTCCTGACTGGTTGCCGACAACAATAATTCAGGCGAATTGCGTGCTGCGATGGGAAATGCCTTTAATCTGTTGGAGTTGCCAACTGTCACGAAGCGAAATGAAATGGAAATCACACGCACTAATGGCAGACGGAGCTGGACTCGAACCCGGACAAGGACTCGAACTCCCACCCACTCAAACCGCTTAATGGCGGCCTTTTTTTTTGTTGCTGTCGCTGTCGTTGTTGCTGTTGCCATGGCATCAACTTTACGCAATGTCTAATTCGATTTGTTCTACGCCAACACTTTCATAATTTTCCATGTCCTTGCCGCTGTCTATTACAGGCTGAGCTGGAACTGAAAACGGACGCCGGGCTGGCTGCCTTATCTGCGATCTGGCTGCGCTGCGCTGTGCCTAACCTCAAGTCTAACCCCGTAGCCCACTGTCTATGTTGTCTGTAGTTTTTTATACACTTGCCCTAGACAAGGGGCCCACATGCTATCGCTGGCAATCAATCTGCCCGGCGAACATATCTCAACTTTTGCGTTTTTCAATCTGAGCATTTTGTGGGCTAAGTAAGTCCGCGATGGCCCCGTGCCGATGCCGTTGGCGATGGCGATGTTCCTTGGGCATAGCCATCGCAGTCACCGTCCCCGTCACCGTCGCAGGCGCTGTCACTTTCGCTGGCACAAGGTTTTAAGGCTGCAAGCTATGTGGCCGCCCAGCGGGAGGCCTTTTTTGATGTCACAAAAGGATTCACTTGATATTCATCAACATCAGTGTCTGTCAAACAGTCAGTCAGGCAGTCATTCAATACGCCAGACCAAGAGACAGAGTCCCAGTCCCAGTCCCAGTCCCAATTTCAATCCCAATCCCAATCCCAGACCCAACTCCAACGTCCATTTCATGTCATGTTGGTCTACTCGCTCGTGGGCTGCTCTCTCTTTCTCTCTCTCTCTTTGGGTGTGGGTGCTTCGATAGACCCCGTTGCAATTTGATGCGTCTGGCTCGCATGTGCAACGAGAGAGAATTATATGCCAACGCGTTGGCGATACTAATCTGATTAGTGTCAAAGAAAAAAGAAAAAAAAATCGCTTCAATTGCAGACAGACAGCACTGACAGGCCCAGCAAACCGGGGTGTCGGCGATTGAGCACTTTATGAGTGATGTCCTATGTGATTAGAGTTTGGTTTCATAACTGGATCAACTGGTTAGCGGTTGCACTTATTTATATTGCCTGCAAGCCCTATGCAAATCGTTTTGCTACCCAGCTGATGCTAGCCATGGATCGTACTTGTCATCAGCTCACCGAAGGTTAGGCATATATAAATCCCCATTTGGTCATACACTAGCTATAGAGTGGGAACAGTTTTAATACTCTCACTCTCTCACTCACTCTCTCACTCGCTAAATAGTTACTCTTAGACTCTTAGCTCTTAAACTACGAAAGTTGCATAAGCGCTCCGAAGACAGAAACAAGTTTAGATTTTAGCAGTTAGTTAGCGGTTCTACGTAACTCTATTTTCATAAAATCCTATGTATATCTTTTTGCTACCCAGCTGAAGCTAGCCATGGATCGTACTTCTTATCAACTCGCCCTGGTAAATATACCATATGTATATATAAATCTCTCTTGAGTCGCAAAGTAGCTATAGAGTAAAGGACACTTTCTTTAGTCTTTCTTGCTTTGAGCTGGGGATGTCTACGAAACTTGTATGTGAGATCTTGATAGACCAATAGACAGGAACGAGTTTAGATTTTAGCATATCAATCTAAAAAATTTAATTTTGTTAAACTTGTTACCATTTTCAGATGTCAGTTTCGGGCATAAATATGATCTGCGTGGAGTTGCCAATTTAGTTCAGTGTCAGATACAGAAGCCAGAAATTCGGCGAGAATATGTCTGCAAAATTGTTTATCTTAGTAAGTTCAGGATTTTCACAGTTTTAATATTTACTTAAAATCAATTTTTTGCATATAGCTTCTGCTTGTTCTTCTTGGCCAATCGGCACGTTTGTCAAATGGCAAACGTCGAGCATTACCAAAAACATTTTAAGCTGGAATTAGCTTATGATGCAAGTCGCAAGGTCTATACAGTGAAGAAAATTTGTGAAAAATATATAGAGCAAGATGTCTATAGTGATAGTGGTGGTCTTAGCGGACAATGTTTGAAAGCTTGTGGGCGTTAAAACAATGTACTAGCTTGAAAGCATTTAAAAAATTGTGCTTAATAATAGAAATGTAAATGCAGATGATTTTTATGTATTGTTGTTGACTTTATTTTAACTTGATCCATGCAAATTATTAGCATGGTGACTAGATTGGGCAGATCTCACTCAGTTCTAGTCGACTTTTGAATACAAACTTAAATGTGTAAGCTTGTTGAAGTCGGACGAGTGACAGACTTGCTAATGACAAAGATCTATAGAAATAACAAATATTTGCCGCGCATATATTCGATCATCATTAATGAAATGCACGACCGTTGTGACTGAACCCATTGAAAATGGGTAAAAAGGGTTTAATGGACTAGTTTAACTGACTCCATAAGGTACATATATTCTTGGTCAACATCAATAGCCGAGTCAATCTAGAGTAAACTCTTGCTATGGCTGTGGAGTATGAGGCTGTGGCAAGTAGTTTGAGTAGATCGAGTTGCATTCGATGTCTATAGAAGATTCAGAGTATCGCTTAGTCGGGCACACCCGACTAGAGTAATTTTACTTTTATATTTAACTTTTTTTTGGAGAATGAGTGAGTGGCAGAAAGTGAGAATGAATCCGTTCTTGACAAACTGACACCTCAAATAAACATGTTTGAAATTTTGTTAATTTAATTTTCTTAATTAGTTAATTGCATCGATCGCTAGTATTTTATATTTCATATCATTTGTCTAGCACAAAAACAATTTTTACTTATGATGCAGCTCGTCAGGAATATATAGCGAAGAAATATTGTGAAATTATTAATGTTTTCCAACCTGTTTTGCCAGCTGTTGCTGAGTTTGTTTGAATATGCCATATAAATAGTTAATAGTAAACATTAAAAATAAGTTATTTATTGGTTTCAATTAGATTCTTTGAAACAAATAGTCTTGATTTTTTCCTTAACGTAAACAGAATGAAGCTAGAATAATTGTAAAGGCAGCTCTGGCTAGATTTAAGGTATCTGCTAGTCGGGCACGCCCGACCAGAACGCTATTACCAAATAATTATTATGTTTACGAAGCGAGATTCATGCTTTACCTCTCGAACTCTCATTTTATCGACGATTTAAAATCCGGAAACAATGTTTATTTTTTATAACTGGTCACAAGCTCAATGCATATGTAATATTCATTGATTTAATTTACCTTGTTTATGCATATTAAAACCGAGTGGAGATTTGCGCTTAAATACGAGCTGCTTGCAGTTGCAAACTTAGTGCAGGGCCAGATGCAGACGCTGCAAGATCGGCGACAATATGTTAGCAAATCTGTTTGGCTTGGTAAGTTAACGATTTTCTAAACTATAAATTTCTAAACTCTATTTTCATATAGCTGCTGCTTGTTGTTATTGCCCACGCGGCTCCGTCGGGGGAGATAAGAGGTAGAATAGAAGGAGGTACCTTTAGTCTGACGCCTCTTGATGGCGACAAATACTTACTAAAGTAAAGTGAACTACTATGATTTATTTATATTTTGCGCAAAACTAATTAACTGATTGGCATATAGAACTACCCGGGATGGAACTGTGAAAGAAGAGATCGTGACGCAGACCAATCCTGAAGTATTTCGAGTGAGGTGCTACACCGTCGAGTCAATTCCGTACGGAAGTTTTATTATTACCTATGATCAATCTATCAAGGTCTATAATGCGAGATTTTATTGTGAAAAGACATCGTTTCCATCTGGGGCAGGTGGTGGTACTCTAAGCGGAGGTTGTTTAAAATGTACTACAGGTTAAAATAATGAACTAGTTTGAAAGCATTACAAAAATTGTGCTCAGTTTATTTATGTTAATAAAATATGCCCCTTTGTTCATGAAAATTTCTGCAAAAATTGTACAATTTAAATACGTATCAAACAGTTTTATTTATACCCTCAAATATCCTATATAGACATAGGTCGAAATTTCCCACCCCCATAACTTGGTCAAATCTCGTCAGATTTTCACGAAGTTTGGCTCTTTATTCATTGTTTGGCCTCTAGATCAATTTGGCATCTAAATCTGGCAGCATTATTCTTGGTCGAAATTCATGTAAGAATAGTACCGTCAAATATCCCACCCCCATAACTCTGTCAAACACGATTTGTTTTATTAGTTTGTGTAAAACATATTTTTTGTCTTAAATGGTAATCAATGTATTCTCGAGAAAATCGTTTTGCTAATATTGCATTCCACTGTGCGACTTGGGCCTGGGCCAGTTCTCGACAGGGACAATCTCTTTGGCCAGGCGGCATCACGCTGCGTTCAATTAAAACGCATTTAAGCGAGAATATGGACGGCTGGGCGGTTGGCGGCTGCGAGAGGCTCAATCCCAAAACTTTGAGCGTCCTTTTAATTTAAAGGTATTTAAGGCGATCCATCATATCGTATCAGTGGGCCAGAGACAAGAGCGAGTGCCGAGCCGTAGCTCTGGTCGTGGTCGTAGTCGTGGCCGAGACGCACGGTTGCAACTTGATATGAGCGCAGCAATCTGTTATGCAATCGCCCAAAACGAACGCCCGCCCGCCCGTCCGTCCGTCTGTCCGTCGCCCCGTGGCGCATTATATTGGCCTGTCACAAGGGAGCAATTCGATGTCTCTGGTGCTGCCGCTGCATCTCGCCGAGACGCGACTCAGGCGGACGCATTAGTGGCGGGTCGGCGGCTGACAGCACTTGCGTTTGACTTCCAACACTTTGGGCAATTGTTTAGCCCCGAGTGCAGGAACAGAAGGCGGAACAAACGCCGGAACATAAAAATGCCAAAAAGGAAACAGAGCAACAACCAAAAAAAAAAAACAAAAAGGGATGTTCAAAGCAGGAGCAGGAACAGGGGCGGGCGCAGGGTACACACTGCTGAGCCGCTGAGCCGTTGAGCGTTGACAAAAGGCCTTGCCGTTTCATTTAGCAGCCATGCAGCTAACCAACCCCCACCCCTCCAGCACCCACACCCACCCAGCGAGCATTGCACCCCTCTGCTATAGAGTCTCTCTCTCTCTCTCGCTGTCTCCCTCTGTCGCGCTGTGCCTCGCTGTTTCCCTGGTTGTCGCCTTTCTCGCGGTCTTAAAACGATGATTAGGTTGTTATTTTAATTTGCCCATTGATATATCCTCGTCGTTGTTGTTCTGGCCTGACTTTGCCTTTGTCACAGGGTGGCTGGTGGCAGTTCAGATTGTTTGTCGCTGTTGTTGCTGTTGTTGCTGCGCTTTGTCTTTCCAAGCGGGGTAGCATTGTCAGCGTATTTAGCAGTCACGCCGTAACCAGAAACGACGAGACGCACAGCTCAACTCGTCTTGGACTCAACTACGCGTAACGTGTCCGCAATTTGTCATCGATTTTGTATTGCAGCTTTTTAGGCGTAACGAGGGGTTGAACTGGGTCTGGCTCGGAGTTTGGGTCTGGGTTTGGGTTTTGTGCTGCTCTGCAATGATGCGCAAATGTTTAAATTATACTAATTAATAAATTGACTTCTAATGCAAACATTACGCGCAAATGTCGAAATAATTTCGATCGACTTGGTTTGAACGGGCGACCTTGAGGCCTACTCATGCCAGCAGCTACTCAAGAAGCAAAACTTTGGCAGTTTATGTTATTTTCATCACAAAAACAACAGCAACAAGCTGCGTAGTTTATTTAAATTTATTTTAATGAAGCTACAAGAAATGTGGCGACTCTTGAATGGCGGGAAGGGGGGCGGGGGGCTCGTTGGGGGGGTTGGAGGCCACGCACGCGGAAATTTCATGCCCGAACGAATTAAGCTCAGAAAGGCACGAAAGGGTTGCGAGGACACGTGAAAAGGATTGTCTGCCTGCCTGGGCGAAACGACAGGCAGGACGACGGTGTTAATGCGTTCGCAGACAAGTGCTGCCTCGAGCTTCCTTCGTATTTTATGCCGTGAAAGGAGTAAATTAAATGATTAATACGCTTCGACTGTTGCCGCGTTGTGCGGCTCACGTTTAATTATCCATTTCTGGCCGAGCCGTGTCCTGGTTGGGCATTGGCATTCGTTACGGTTTTACGCTTATCAACCAACTGTCAACGCTCCGCACTTGGCTCATTAGGCGCACAAACGAGGGGTAGGGGGCGGGGGTCTGGCTGAGGCATCAGCGAATAGTGGGCAATAAGAAAAGCATGCTCTATCCCTATACATGTCCCTCTGTGTCTCTCTCTCCCTCCTCTCTCTCTCTCTCTCTCTTCCCCAGAGTCTCTCTTCTTCGCAAAACAAACAGCAACATTTTTTGCTTGTCAAACTGTGCATATCAAGAGCCGTACTGTGCGCAGGATAACAGCAGTGTGTGTGTATGTGTGTGTGTGTGTTTGTGCGGTCAGGAAGTGACCATGGACATGACCATCGAGTTGGGTGTGTGTGTGTGTGTGAGTGTGTGTGACCAATGTAAACTCCATGGTTAAATACACACACACAATACAAATAGAAAGCTGGAACTAAATATGTTCATCGAATGGATTCAGTGTGTATTATATGAATAAGAAGAAGTTATTTTCATTGGACACGGATAAGATAAATCAAACATAGAAATCTCTGAATTTGTTCTTTAATCAGAAGTCAAAGGAAACTATAAAAAATTCAATTATTAACCAAAATCAAAAATTAGTAAATAATAATAAATAAAATAAGGGGAAAAGCTGTCAACTAAATAAACGTAAATGTATTAAGCTTCTGCTAAAAAAACAATTTATTTAATTTGAATATTAAATATTAGAAATATAAAAAATAAAGACTGCTTATTGTTCTATATATTGGTAATAAAAAAATAAATAAATAAATAAAATCAAATAATTGCTTTGATTGGAACTTTAAGAAATATTTTAAACAGGACATTTAAAATGTTTCTATATACTAACTAAAAGCCTAGTTTATGAGTTTTCAATAACTTTTAAATTATATTAAGGAGCGAACTGAAGCAAAGAACTAGTTCCAAGCGAGCGCACTGCTGCACGGGCCGGACAACGCCGGGCAGTTAAAAAACACACAGATTCCACAGAAAACACAACAAACTAAATGACGAGAAAAAAAGCTGAAAACTCGAGCGAAACCAAGCAAAACAAATACACAAAATATAAGCGAGCAGTGTGCGTGTGTGTGTGTGTGTGTGTGTGTGTGGGTGGGTGGGGAAGGGGGGTGGCGAGCGGGGCTGTCAATGCCGGATGCTGCCAGTGCCCTTGCCACAATGACAACAACAACAACAACAACAAGGACAACGCCAACGAAAGCGATCCTCATTTGTATTCCAGACGCGCGCTGCGATGTGAGCGCCGCTCCGAATGCTAACAAGAATCCTCGGCACAGGCTCAGCCAGCGAGCTGATGATGAAAGTGGGTGTTGTGCGTGTCTGTTTGTGTGTGTGGGTGTGTGTGTGGGTGTGGGTGTGTGGCTGCATATTTGTGTGGGTCGATATAGAGGAAGCGCCAAATATTAAAGAGCCACGACTTAAAGCGGAACCTAAACCGAAAAAAGGAAGTCAACAGCAGCGAACAACTTTCAAGCTAATTGAAAATAGGTAGAAGCAGAGCCATTTTATTAAGGACTCGCCGCATTTCTGTTTTTGGCAGCTTGACTAACGGCCATTTTGTGCTGTGCAAAGGTATTCACGGCGTCTGCGCAGAAAATTTTAGAAGAGATGTCCAAAAGCGTTAAGATCTTAAGTGGCCCAAATTGTTAACCGGGCCAAACAACAATAATCAGCTGATTCTCACACAAACAGCACTAATACTCACTCACTTACACACACACAGACACACAGACAGACACACACGCACACGGCCAGGACCTTCGTCTAGCGGAACTCGTTGCTCGTAATTCAAATGCAAAACTCGTGCGAAATTTTGTTGCCTTGTTGTCCTTGCTGCATCCTTTCGATGACGTCATCGCAGACAGAGCAGAGCACAGCAGTCGCCAACTTTTGTTGTCGATTTGTAATTCAAAATTTGTTTTCGAATACATTTTCCACTTCGACATTCACACGAGCGCGTTTCCAGAATGTCAAATTTGTTTCTTTTTAGCCCGCAACAACCACGCTCTCTCTCTCTCTCTCTCTTTCTTTCGCTCCCACTCTCTCTCTCTCTCTCTTTTTCTCTTTGGCCGTCCGTGTTGCTGTCTTTGTCACGCTGCTTTGCTTTCACGCTGACTTTTCATTTTTGTGCATGTAGCAGCCGTTAAAATTCAACAGTTTGCAAAAATAAAAATTCGCAAAAAACATATAAAAACATCTCGATACACAGACAAATATATATGTATATATGTATATACATATGGGAGGCTGCATCTGTGTGTCCAAATGTGTGTGTGTGTGCGTGGAAGGGCAAGGTTACGCGCACGCGACTCATAAACTAATTTATGATTATTACACGAGAGCTGATTTTTTATGCCCTCAGCGTATCGTACAGTACACACACACACACACTCACACTCACACCCACGCATGTATATAGAGCAAGTGTCATCCCGTTGCGCTCCACTTTCCATTTCACTCGCAGACACATCACATCTCTTCCAGACATCGCCTGCCGCCTCCTTCGTTGAGGTAGATCACGAAAAAGTTTTTATTACAGAAATTTTACTTTTCTTTCCTCTTTTTTTTTTTTGACTCATTTGTTACTTTTTTCTTTGCTCACACACACACACACAGGCGCACAGCATTTGTGCTTTTGTTTATTGTGCGATTTTATGAGCCGGCCATAATTTGTTGTTAATATCGGAAGAGTAAGACGCAGTCTGGCTGCTGCCTGCTGGCACCGCATTCGAAGGAGGCTCGTCTCTGGCTCATCAGTGATGCAGACGAGCATGTGACCCACTGATATTGAAAGTTTTTATGCACTTGGCGCA